AGCAAGCAAAACACATTCAGCTCCTGGAATGTGTTCAGCAGGCTTATTAGTTTCTTTGCCAAGTGCAGCCACCTGTTTTCAGTATAATGTATTTCATTGATTTCTAAATGCACATTTTTTCACATCTTACCACCTCTGAAATCAGGGTGAGCCTTAAAATCAATAGCATCTTAAGGTTTTAATTTGCAACCTTACTATAGTGACACAAAATGGTGCATCACTTTAGAGCCAATGAAATGTTTATGTGCACATATGTGCCTCCCCCCACATACCATCTTAACTTTCAGAGACCACTCTAACACACATAAAGTATAAAAGTCATTTTACTTTAATACAAAAATCACGTAAAGAAAGTTGTGTTTACTAAATCAAATATTCACGAAATGTCAGTGAAATCACCCTGGGCTATCTATACCATATTTTCCTACTTTCTCTTCTGCCTTCTGCTACACATTAAAGACTAGGGTCGTCCATGGGAGCAAATCAGTAAGCACATGTCTGCACGTGGGAGTGCTGAAGTGGGAGCGGGAGGTGGGCCCCACACTCATTCCTTCTGCTTTCTTGATTTCTTCATGCTGCTTCACTCCCACCCAGGCCAAACCTTCAAGGGTATCCAGTTCCGTAGCTGGGGAGAAAGTTATCCCAAGAGACCCTCATCTCCTTCCTCCTCCATCTGCTTTGAGGGGGAAGCAAATGAGCAATGTACATATGGAACAGAGACAGTTCTGGAAGGCATCTTGGTGGGTTGTCTTCTGCAGTCACAGCCACTGCCTTAGTCATGGCCTTTGAACTAGGTCTGCTTCCCTGACCGGAAAAAGAACCTGGTGGAGAGAGGGGTCAGAATAAGCAAAAGGAACAAAGCAAGGGGCATAGCTCTTGTGGGCTTTTGACTCAAGAATGTATTCAGGGGTTTGGTGCAGCGGCTCAGGCCTATAATCCTGACACTCTGGGAGGCCATAGCAAGAGGATCACTTAAGCTCAGGAGTAGAGAATGGCCTCAGTAAGAGCGAGACCCTTTGTTTACTAAAACTAGAATAATCAGTGCTGGGCGCAGTGACTCACACCTATAATCCTAGCACTCTGGGCAGCCAAGGTGGGAGGACTATTTGAGCTCAGGGGTTCGAGACCAGCCTGAGCCAGAGTGAGAGCCCGGCTCTAAAAAATAGCTGAGCATTGTGGCAAGTGCCTGTACTCCCAGCTACTTGAGAAGCTGAGGCAAGAGAATCACTTGAGCCCAAGAGTTTGAGGTTACTGTGAGATGTGAGCCACAGCACTCTACCAAGGGTAACAAAGTGAGACTCTGTCTCAAAAATAAATAAATAAAATAAAAATTAAAAATAGAAAAATCAGTTGGTTATTGTGGAGGATGCCTGAAATCCTAGCTACTTGGGAGGCTGAGGCAGGAGGATTGCATGAGGATCATCTCAACTCAGGAGTCTCAGGTTGCTGTGAGGTAGGCTGAGGCCATAGAACTCTAGACTAGGCAACAGAATAAGAGTCTGGCTCCAAAAATAAAGAATGTGTTCAGGGCTTATTATGGGAGACATGCTGTGCCAGGTACTTTGCATCCCGGGGCTGGCCCATTTCACACTCATAACTATATGGGAAAGATCATTAATAGCCCCATTTTATAGATGAGCAAACTGAGACCCTACAAGGCCTAAAGTCACTTTGTGCTGCCAGGAGTTGGGCCCAGAGTCACACTTTTAACCACTGTGCTGTACTGTCAGATGGTGTCCAGCATCTTTTTTTTCTTTTTTTTTTTTTTTTGACAGAGCCTCAAGCTATCCGCCTGGGTAGAGTGCTGTGGCATCACAGCTCACAGCAACCTCCAACTCCTGGGCTCAAGTGAGTCTCCTGCTTCAGCTTCCCAAGCAGTTAGGACCACAGGCACCCGCCACAATGCCCGGCTATTTTTTGGTTGCAGCCATCATTGTTGTTTGGCGGGCCTGGGCTGGATTCAAACCCACCACCTTAGGTATATGTGGCTGGTGCCTTAGCCACTTGAGCCACAGGCGCTGAGCCTTCTTTTTTCTTTTTAGTTTTAAGCTTTTAGTCAGGTGTGGTGTAATCCAGTTACTTGGGAGACTGAGACAGGAGATTCGCTTGAGCCTAAGAGTTGGAGGGTGCAGTGAGGTATGATGATGCCACTGCACTCTAACCCAGGCAATGGAATGAGACCCTATCTCAAAAATAATAATAATAATTTTAGGAGGTTTTATTACATAGGAAGAGGTGACTTTTTTTTTTGAGACAGAGTCTCACTTTGTCATCCTTAGTAGAGTCCCATGGCGTCATAGCTAACAGCAACTTCCAACTCTTGGGATCAAGCTATTCTCTTGCCTCAGCCTGCCAAGGAGCTTGGACTACAGGCACCCACCACAAAAGCCCTGTTATTTTTAGAGATGGAGTCCTCTTTTGCTCAGGTTGGTCTTGAACCTGTAATTTCAGTCAGGACAATCTACCCTCCCTGGCTTCCCAGAGTGCTAGGATTAGAGGCGTGAGCCACCATGCCGCACCGAGAGGTGACTTCTTTTAGGGAGATAGAGTCTCACTCTGTAGCCCTCAGTAGAGTGCTGTGGCGTCACAGTTCACAGCAACCTCAAACTCTTGGGCGTAAGTGATTCTCTTGCTTCAGCCTCCCAAGTAGCTGGGACTATAGGCGCCCACCACAATGCCTTGCTATTTTTTTGTTGCAGTTGGTCATTATTGTTTAGCAGGCTCGGTCCAGGTTTGAACTTACCTTCCTTGGTGTATGTGGCCAGTGACCTAACCACTGAGCTATGGTTCTTTTTTTTTCTTTTTGCAGTTTTTGGCCAGGGCTGGGTTTGAACCCGACACCTCCGGTATATGGGGCTGGTGCCCTACTCCTTTGAGCCACAGGCGCCTTAGGTGATTTTCTTGCCTTGGCCTCCCAAGTAGCTGGGACTACAGGAGCCTGCCACAATGCCCGGCTGTTTTCTTGTTACAGTTTGGCTGGGGCTGGGTTTGAACCCACCATCCTCGGTATATGGGGCTGGTGCCCTGCTCACTGAGCCACAGGCGCCACCCGAGAGAATCTCTTAAGCCCAAGAGTCTGAGGTTGCTGTGAGCTATGATGATGCCATGGCACTCTACCCAGGGCAACAGAGTGAGACTCTTGTCTCAAAACAAGAAAAAAAAAAAGATTAACACATACATTCTTGGATAAAACAGATAAGGCACATAGAGGTATTCCCTGAGACATGAATACCAAATTAGCAAAATATGCAAAATACCTAAATACCCTAAGTTTTGGAAAGGAGGCATGATATCTTGGAATTCCAACCTCCAACTCCTGGGCATGGTGCAAAATGTCAATCATGGGGATGTGAGTTCATGCTTCCCGTAAGAAAAAGATTTGTAATTTGGGGCGGTGCCTGTGGCTCAAAAAGGTAGAGCGCCGGCCCCATATGCCAGAGGCGGTGGGTTCAAACCCAGCCCCGGCCCCCTAAAAAAGCCCAATCATCCCCAGCAGCCTGTCCCAGGAACAGCTGGGGCAAGCCCTGAGCAGCATGTGGACCCAGGTGTCTGAGTCACCTTGTGCTCAGCCATTGTCCCCCTGAACCTCCACACAGTATTTCCACCCCCAGTTTTCTTTCTCAGGAAGTGTTATCACCCCCCACCCAGTCAGTCAAGCCAGAAACCTGGGAGTTGTTCTCTACTCCCCCCTACATCTGCCATCTTTTAGTCATCACATCTCAAATATGTTCCTAATCCCCCACTTCTCATCTCCTGCACTACCACTTCACCAAAGCACCTCACAGTGAGAAGAGCCACCTCCCCATCACTCCTCCGCTTGCCACCCCCTCTCCCAGCCTTTCAGGCAGCAGCCAGAGTGACCCTGCCACAAGGCAGAACTGACAGAGCCATTCTTCATGTGAAACCCTCCCACGGTTCCCCACTGTCCTCAGGATAAAAACCAAAATCCTTCTCAGCGTGACCTACTTCTTCAGAAAGTCATTCATTCCATTAGCAAAATAAGCTTATCTGACCGTGAAAGTGTATCCTCATGCTCATTAAACACATGTCCTTAGGCTGGTTCACACACAGAACAAACATTTTATTTATTTTTTTTTTTTTTGAGACAGAGCCTCAAGCTGTCCCCCTGGGTAGAGTGCCATGGC